AGGGACTCTTTTCCCCATTGCTTGTGTTTGTCCAGTTTGTCAAAGACCAGATAGTTTTAGATGTGTGGCATTGCCTCCAAGGCCTCTGTTCTGTTCCATTGGTCTATATCTCTGTTTTGGTACCAGTACTACGCTGTTTTGGTTACTGTAGCCTTATAGAATAGTTTGAAGCCAGGAAGTGTGATGTCTCCAGCTTTGTTCTTTTTGCTTAGAATTTACTTTGCTATGTGGGCTCTCTTTTGGTTCCAAATGAAGTTTAAAGTGGTTTTCTCCAGTTCTAAGAAGAGGATCATAAGTATCTTTATGAGGATAGCATTTAATCTATAAATTACTTTGGGCAGTTTGGCCATTTTCACAATATTGATTCTTCCTAACCATGAGCATGCAATGTTTTTCCATCTGTTTATGTTCTCTCTTATTTCATTGAGCAGTGGTTTGTAGCTCTCCTTGAAGAGGTCCTTTATCTCCTTTGTTAGTTGTATTCCTAGGTATTTTATTCTCTTTATAGCAATTGTTAATGGCACTTTGTTCTTGATTTGACTCTCTTTACATCTGTTATTGGCGTATATAGGAATGCTTGTGATTTCTGCACATTGATTTTGTATTCTGAGACTTTGCTGAAGTTGCTTATCAGTTTCAGGAGACTTTGGGCTGAGATATTGGGGTCCTCTAAATACACAATCATGTCATCTGCAAATAAAGATGGTTTGACTTTCTCCTTTCCTAACTGAATACCATTTATTTCTTTTCCTTGCCTGATTGCTCTGGCTAGAACTTCCAATACTATATTGAATAGGAGTGGTGAGCAAGGGCATCCTTCTCTAGTGCCAGATTTCAAAGGGAATGCTTCCAGTTTTTGCCCATTCAGTATGATATTGGCTGTGGGTTTGTTGTAAATAGCTTTTATTAGTTTGAGATATGTTCCGTTGATGTCTAGTTTATTGAGAATTTTTAGCATAAAGGGCTGTTGAATTTTGTTGATGGCCTTCTCTGCATCTATTAAGATAATCATGTGGTTTTTGTCTTTGGTTTGTTTATGTGGTGAATTACGTATATAGACTTACATATGTTAAACTGGCCTTGCATTCCCAGGATGAAGCCTACTTGATCATGATGGATAAGCTTTTCGTTGTGCTATTGCAATCGGCTTGCCAGTATTTTATTGAAGATTTTTGCATCTATGATCATCATGGATATTGGCCTGAAGTTTTCTTTTTTAGTTGTGTCTCTGCTGGGTTTTGGTATCAGGATAATGTTGGTCTCATCAAATAATTTGGGAAGGATCCCCTCTTTTTGTATTGTTTGGAATAGTTTCAGAAGGAGTGGCATCAGCTCCTCTCTGTAAGTCTGGTAGAATTCGGCTGTCAACCCATCTGGACCTGGGCTTTTTTTGGTTGGTAAGCTATTAATTTCTGTCTCAACTTCAGCCCTTGTTATTGGTCTATTCAGGGTTTCTACTTCTTCCTGGTTTAGGTTTCGGAGGGTTTAAGTGTCCAGGAATTTATCCATTTCTTCCAGGTTTACTGGTTTATGTGTATAGTTATTTGTGGTAATCTCTGATGGTAGTTTGTATTTCTATGGAATTGGTGGTGATATCCCCTTTACTGTTTTTTATTGCATCTATTTGATTTTTCTCTCTTTTCTGTTTTATTAATATGGTTAATGGTCTGTCTATTTTGTTGATCTTTTCAAAAAACCAGCTCCTGGTTTATTAATTTTTTGAAGGATTTTTTGTCTCTATGCCCTTCAGTTCTGCTCTGTTCTTAGTTATTTCTTGTCTTCTGTTAGCTTTTGAGTTTTTTTAATCTTCCTCCTCTAGCTCTTTCAATTTTTATGATAGGGTGTCAATTTTAGATCTTTCCTTGCCTCTCATTTGGGCATTTATTGCTATAAATTTTCTTCCCAGAATCTCTGGGACACACTGCTTTCAATGTGTCCCAGAGATTCTGGTATGTTATGTCTTCATTCTCGTTGCTATCAAAGAACATCTTTATTTCTCCCTTCATTTCATTATTTATCCAGTCAAATTGAAGAGCCAGTTGTTCAGTTTCCATAAAGTTGTGTGGTTATCAGTTTCTTAACCCTGAGTTCTAATTTGATTGCACTGTGGTCTGGGAGACTATTTGTTATAATTTCCATTCTTTTGCACTTGCTGAGGAGTGATTTACTTCCAATCATGTGGTCAGTTTTAGAGTAGGTGTGATGTGGTGCTGAGAAGAATATATATTCTGTGGATTTGTGGTGGAGAATTCTGTAAATGTCTATTATGTTTGCTTGGTCCAGATCCGAGTTCAAGTTCTGGATATTCTTGTTAATTTTCTGTCTTGTTTATCTAATATTGACAGTGGAGTGTTAAAGCCTCCCACTATTATTGTATGTGAGTCTAAGTCTCTTTGTAGGTAGTAAGAACTTGCCTTATGTATCTGGGTGCTCCTGTATTGGGTGCATATGTATTTAGTATAGTTAGTTCTTCTTGATGTACTGATCCTTTTACCCCTATGGAATGCCCTTCTTTGTCTCTTTTGATCTTTGTTGTTTTAAAGTCTATTTTATCAGAGTCTAGGATTTCAACTCCTGACTTTTTTTTTTTCTTCTCTCCATTTGCTGGGTAAATCTTCCTCCATGCCTTTATTTTGAGCCTATGTGTTTCCTTGCATCTGAGATGGGTTACCTGGATACAGCACACCCATGAGTTTTGACTTTTTAACTAATTTGCCAGTCTGTGTTTTTTGATTGGGACATTTAGCCTATTTACATTTAATGTCAATATTGTTATGTGTGAATTTAATCCAATTGCAGGCTATTTATTACTGCCTCAATTTCAGAACTCATTATTGGTGTACTGAGGAATTCAGTTTCTTCCTAGTTCAGTTCTGGGAGAATGCTATGTTTCCAGGAATTTATCCATTTCTTCTAGTTCTTCTAGTTTATGTAGATAGTGTGTTTATAGTATTCTCTAATGGTTTTTTGTATTTCTGTGGGGTCAGTGGTGACATCCTTCTTGGAATTTCTGATTGTCTCTGTTTGATTCTTCTCTCTTTTCTCCTTTACTAGTCTAGCTACTGATCTATCTAGTATATAATTTTTTTCAACATAAGCTCCTAGATTTATTGATTTTTGAAGGGTTTTTTATTTCTTTATTTCCTTCAACTCCACTCTGATTTTGGTAATTTCTTGTCTTCTGCTAGCTTTGGGATTTGTTTCCTTTGGTTCTCTAGGTTTTTTTAACTTGTGGTGCTATGTTGTTAGCTTGAGATCTTTTCAGCTTGCTAATGCAAAGGAACCAAAATCATAACAGTCTCTCTGACCACAGTGCAATCAAGTTAGAACTCAAGATTAAGAAGCTTACTCCAAACTACACAACTACATGGAAATTGCACAACCTGCTCCTGAATGACTCCTGGGCAAATAATAAAATTAAGGCAGAAATCAAGAAGTTCTTTGAAACTGTGAAAGGAAAATAAATCTTGGAACTACCAAATCACTAAGCTAATGGGAAAAGTCAAGCTAGGAACTGCTTGGGGCAAACCTGCTTCCCATTCCAATTCAAAGTCATTCCTCTGAGGTTCACTTAAGACAAATGCATATCTGATTGCTTCCACTCCCCCATTGTTTGTGTAAAATTCAGATTAGCTGAGCCAGACTAAATTGCATTTTAGGTGGAAGGCTCATCAAGGACTCAAAATAATGCAACGTTTTGTCTCTTATCTACTTCTAACCTGGAAGCCCCTATTTCAGTTTATCCCACCTTACCAGATTGAACCAATGTACATCTTACACATATTGATTTATGCCTCGCATTTTCCTAAAATGTATAAAAACAAACAGTACCCCCAACCAACTCGGGCACATATCTCAGGACTTCCTGAGGCTGTGTCAGGGGTACATCCTTAACCATGGCAGAATAAACTTTCTAAGTTGACTGATACCTGTCTCAGATATTTGGGGTTCACAAAACTAATGAGAACAAAGAGATAACATACCAGAATCTCTGGGACATAACTAAAACAGTGTAAAGAGGGAAATTTATAGCACTAAATGCCAACATCAAAAACCTAGAAAGATCTCAAATAAACAACCTAACATCGCAACTAAAAGAACTAGAGAACCTAGAGCAAACAAGTCCCAAAACTAGCAGAAGACCAGAAACAACCAAAATCATAGCAGAACTGAGGGAGATGGAGACACACACAAAAAAAATCCATCAAAAAATCAACAAATCCAGAAACTGTTTTTTTCTTTTTAATAATAAAATAGATAGACTGGTAGATTAATAAGAAGAAAAGGGTCAGACACAATCAGAAATGATAATAAAGATATTACCACTGACCCACAGACATACAAACAACCATCAGAGAATACTATAATCACCTCTCTGCACATAAATAAGAAAATCTGGAAGAAATGGATAAATTCCTAGACAATACATCCTCCCAAGACTGAGCCAGAAAGAAACTGAATCCCTAAATAGACTGATGAGTTCTGAAATTGAGGCAGTAATAAATGGCTACCAACCAAAAAAAGCCCAGGACCAGAGAGATTTGCAGCTACATTTTACCAGAGGTACAAAGAAGAACTGGTACCATTTCTACTGAAACTATACCAAAAAAATTTAAAAGTATGGACCCCTACCTAACTCATTTTATGAGGTCAGCCTCATCCTGATACCAAAACCTGTGAGAGATACAACACAAAAAAGAAAACTTCAGGCCAATATCCCTGATGAACATCAATGCAAAAATCCACAACAAAATATTGGCTAACCAGGCCTAGCAGCACATCAAAAAAACTCACCTACCACAATCAAGTTGACTTTATCCCTGGGATGCAAGGTTTGTTCGATATATACAAACCAATAATTGTAATCCATCACATAAACAGAACTAAAGACAAAAACAACATGATCATTTCAATAATGCAGGGAAGGCCTTCAACATAATTCTACATTGCTTCATGTTAGAAACTTTTAATAAACTAGTTATTGAAAGAATATACCTTAATATAATAAGAGCCTTACATGACAAACCAACAGCCAATATCATACTAAATGGCAAAAGATAGAAGCATTCCCCTTGAAAGCAGGCACAAGACAAGGATGCCATCTCTCACCACTCCTTTTCAACATAGTATTTAAAGTTCTGGCCAGGGCAATCAAGCAAGAGAAATAAATAAAGTGTATTCAAATAGGGAGGGAGGAGATCAAATTATCTTTGTTTGTAGAAGATATAATCCAAATCTAGAAAATTTATTGTCTCAGCCCAAAAGCTCCTTAAGCTGATAAGAAACATCAGCAAAGTCTCAGGATACAAAATCAATGTGTAAAAATCAGTAGCATTCCTATACACCAACAACAGGCAAGCAGAAAGCCAAATTATGAATGAACTCCCATTCACAATTATTATAAAAAGAATACAAGGCCTAGGAATACAACTAAGAAGGGAAGTAAAGGACCTCTTCAAGGAGAACTATAAACCACTGCTCAAAGAAATCAGAGGGAACACAAATAAATGGAAAAATATTCCATGCTCATGGATAGGAAGAATCAATATCATGAACATGGCCATGCTAGTAATTTATAGATTCAATGCTATTCCCATTAAACTAACATTGACATTCTTCACAGAATTATAGGGAACTATTCTAAAATTTATATGGCACCAAAAATGAGCCCAAACAGCCAATATAATCCTAAGCCAAAAGAACAAGACTGGAGGCATCACACTAACAGACTTCAAACCATACTGCAAGGCTACAGTAACTAAAACAACATGGTATGGATACAAAAACAGGCACATAGACCAATGGAACAGAACAGAGAAATCAGAAATAAGACCACACACCTACAAACATCTGATCTTTAGCAAACCTGACAAAATCAAGCACAGGGAAAGGATTCCCTATTTAATAAATGGTGCTGGGAGAACTAGTTAGCCATGCGCAGAAAATTGAAACTGGATCCATGCTTCACTTTACACAAAAATTAACTCAAGATGTATTAAAGACTTAAATGCAAAATCCAAAACTACAAAAACCCTAGAATAAAATCTAGGCAATACCATTCAGGACATAGGCAGAGGCAAAAATTTTATGATGAAAATGCCAAAAGCAATTCCAACAAAAGCAAAAATAAATAGAATTTAGTTAAGCTAAAGAGCTTCTGCACAGCAAATAAGATTATCATCAGAGTGGGCAGACAACCTACAGAATGGGAGAAAATTTTTGTGATCTATCAATCTGACAAAGGTCTAACATGCAAACTCTAAAATGAACTTAAACAAATTTACAAGAAAAACAAAAAACAACCCCATTGAAAAGTGGGCAAAGGACATGAACAGACACTTCTCAAAAGAAGTCATTCATGTGCCAACAAATATGTAAAAAAAAAAAAAAAGCTCAACATCACTGATTATTAGAGAAATGCAAATCAAAACCACAATGAGATATTATCTAACATCAGTCAGAATGGCAATTATTAAAAGGTCCAGGAATAACATATGCTGGCAAGGTTGTGGAGAAAAAGGGACACTTTTACACCAGTGACTGAAATATAAATTAGTTCAACCATTGTGGAAGACAGTGTGATGTCTTATTGAAAGTGAATCCTCAAAGATCTAGAGGCAGAAATACCATTTGACTAAGCAAACTCATTACTGGGTATATGCCCAAAGGAATATAAATCATACTATTATAAAGATACATGCATGTGTATGTTTATTGCAGCACTATTCACAATAGCGAAAACATGGAATCAACCAAAATGTCCATCAGTGATAGACTGAATTAACAAACTGTGGTACATCTACACCATGGAATACTAGGCAACCAAAAAAGGAATGAGATCATGTCCTTTTCAAGGACATAAATGGAGCTAGAAGCTGGTATACTCAGCAAACTAATGCAGGCACAGAAAACCAAACACCACATGTTCTCACTTATAAGTGGGAGCTGAATTATGAGAAAACATTCACACAGGGAGGGAACTATACACACTGGAGCTTGTTGGGGGCTGGTGGGGGTAAAGAGAGCATCAGAAAGAATAACTAATGGATATGCTGGGCTTAATACCAAGGTGATGGGTTGATCTGTGTGGCAAAACACCGCAGCACACATTTACATATGTAACAAACCTGCACATCCTGCACACGTACCCCAGAACTTAAAATAAAAGTTGAAGGAAAAAAAAGCTTAGAGATATATTTACTACACAGCCAGCACTTTTCACTCCTGCATATTTATTTAACAGAAATGCAAATAAACGTCTACATAAATCTTTTGAAAAAAATAGCCAACGTTGGTTAAGGCACTAAAAATTATACTCATTTATGTATTTTTATTCATGTGTCCATGGTATAGCACTGGAGTTAATCAATAACCAAGGCTCATACCAACTGGCCGAGTCATTTTATCTACTTGGTATTGTGTACTTGTTTAATGTCCCATCCATAGTAGATACCCTCTTACAGGGATAACATGTGAAATAAAGATCTTTTTTTTTTTTCCAACTCCCATATAACCATAGTTATGCCTCTCAACTCTTCCTTTTTTGTCTCTGATCTTCCAATCTGTCTCCTTTCAGGCCCCTGACTAACTGGCCAGACCATTTTTCATTTCTCATGAATCTACAGATATTCTTATCATGGGCTACACTAATATGCACTGTACAAAGATCTGACAATTGAGATTGTTTTTCTTGCAACTGCTTTTCAAGGCCGCCCCTGAATGACATTATTGTACAGTTACCTATTTCTTTTCTGGCACCCAAGATACCAAGCCAGCCTATACAGTAACCATGCTCAGGAATGTTTTTTTCTTCTCTTTCAGTTGCTTACAAAGGATCCCCATAAACTCCATGGGTATGTGCTGGAGAAAATGATTAGACAACTGTAGTAGAGGAAGTGGAGGTCTGAACTACCTGCTCTTGCAGTTGTTCATGGCATTTGGTCCTGCTCATATCCCTTCCAGTTTCTGATATATTGGAACTAGTCTTGCCTGATTTTATGACTTAGTAGTTTTTATATGTCTCATGATGGACAATTCTAGATAACAATCATTTACTGTCTTATGGTCAGACATTCTACTTTTATCAGGGCTCATACACATTTTAGTAATTCATCTTTCAAAGGCATATAATTATCCATTGCAGGTAGTATGAACTTCTTCTAGAGCTCTAAGAATGTGTATTATATTTTCCCCAACTAGAAATTCCCATAGATTTGACAGGACATCATTCCCCAGTATTTATATTCTTAATACTATAGAGCCTAATTGTTACAAGCGTTCTTGCCGTCTTATTTCTTCACATTAGTTCCTCTTGTTTAACCGTGCTATAGATTGTATTTGAAACACTGTCAGTAGAAATAATTTGGATCCCGAAACCTTTCTTTCTCCAGGCAGGATTTAAGTGTACTACATCTAGTCTCCTGTGGCACAGGCACAGTGGGATTACCTTAACCCAACTTCAGAGATTAAGATATTTCAGTGTAAGCAATTCCTGAAAGGACCTCTTTGTTTCTACTTTATCCTTACATGTATGTAAAACCCTAAGAATTTTTAATGTGTTTGTAAGTGTGCCCAGGACTCTAATATCTGTCTCAATTTCCCTGTGAAGTTGCTAAAGCTTCACTAGCACCTCTAACACCCCACACATAGTATATACTTAATATGCATTTATATTAAGTGAGTAAGTGCATGAATGACTGAATGATGGACATTCAAGTACCAATAGTGATCATTGTAATTGATAAGCATCACTGATCCACAAGGCAAGAAATATGTATGTATGTATGTATGTATGTGTGTATGTGTTTGTGCCTGTGTGTGTATTTTACATGAATTGTAGAACTATAATAGTTTTTTCTGGGATGTTCATTTTCTGAATAACCCCTGCTTAGCACTTATTACATCCAAAGATACAAGTCTTTTCTACCATAAAACAAGCTCATATTTCAGTATGAGATCTTAACAGTAAAAGAATAAAAATAATACCCATTGGAATATTTGTATAATTATCTGTCAATACTGATTTTAAGCACTGTAAATATTCACTACAAACATAAATACACCAAAAAAGTGACCTTATGTTTTTATATCATAATCAGAAAGGATTTAGGGGAACTTTAATGTACTTCAAACAAACTAATATTTATACTTTTTATTTATCTATTTATTTCTTTATTTTAATATTCCATTTTTTATTTTAGATTCAGAGGGTACATGTACAAGTTTGTTACTTAGGTATATTGCATGATGCTGAGGCGTGGGATATGAATGGTCCCATCACCTAGGCAGTGAGAATAGTGCCCAACAGGTAGTTTTCAGACCATACTGCCCTCCCTCCCTGCTCTAGTAGTCCCCAGTGTCTATTGTTCCCCTCTTTGTGTCTATGTGTACTCAATGTTTAGCTCACACTCGTAAGTAAGAACCTGTAGTACTTGGTTTTCTGTTGCTGTGCTAATTTACTTAGGATTATAGTCTTCAGATGCATCCATGTTGCTGTAAAGGACATGATTTTTTTTTCTTTTCTAAGGCTGCATAGTATTTCGTGGTGAATATGTACCACATTTTCTTTATCCAATCCACTGTTAATAGGAACCTAAGTTGATTCCATGTCTTTTCTATTATGAATAATGCTGCAATGAACATGTGAGTGCATGTGACTTTTTGGTATAATGATTTATTTGCTTTTGGGTATACACACAGTAGAGGGATTGCTAGTTCTGTTTTTAATTCTTTGAGATATATTCAAACTGCTTTCCATAGTGGCTGAAGTCATGTACATTCCCACCAACAGTGTATCAGTGTTCCATCACCAGCATGTTATTTTTTGACTTTTTAATAGCCATTCTGACTGGTATGACTGGGTATCTCATTATGGCTTTGATTTGCATTTCTCTGATGATTAATAACAATTAGCATTTTTTTCATATGTTTATTGGTCACTTATGTTTCTTTTGAAAACCGTCCATGTCCTTTGCCCATTTTACAATGGGGTTATTTGCTTTTTGCTTGTTAATCTCTTTAAGTTCCTTATAGATTCTGGATACTAGACCTTTGTCAGATGTGTTGTTTGTGAATATTTCCCCCCATTTTGTAGGTTGTCTGTTTTCTCTGTTGATGGTTTCTTTTGCTGTGTAGAAGCTATCTCAGCACTACTTGTTAACATTTCATGCTAATAGATTGGAAGAATCAATATTATTAAAATAGCCATACTGCTATTCAATACTATTTCTATCAAACTACCAATGCCATTTTTCACAGAATTAGAAAAAAATGGGCAAGATGACCAACTAGATGCAGCCAGGAAGAACATCAGCCACCAAAGGAACAGGACATAAAAAACACTGAGACACTTCTAGCAGACCTTCAGAAGGAAGGCATTGAGAGTGGATGGAAGAACGACACAGATGCGAAGCTGAAGAGGAAGAAAACTAGTAACCCAGTACAGGGCTACCACATACAAGGATTTATTCTTGGCCCCCAACAACTCATGTGAAAGGGGAGAGTTGGACAGGCAAGGAACAACCAGATCTTGCCATGGGCCTCTGGAATTCCAGCAAGAGGAGACCCCATGACTGCCGTGGACACTTGGGCTGGTAGGCAAAGCTGCTTAGAGAAGTGGTAGGAACAGAACTCTAGCCAGTGCAGAGCTCAGAGGGTTTGGTGCGGGAGCATCTGTAGTGGTGTATGGCCAGGGACACCCATTCCCCTAGGGTCAACTTGCTCCCAAAGGAGAGTTTATCTTTAGAGGAAGTATCAGACCTGAATTCTGCGAGGCAATCTTGCCCATGAGACAGGGTCAGTCAGATCCTGAGCACCCTTCAGTCTGCTGGCCGCTCCCAGGGGCCCAGCTTGGCAGTGCCTGTTTGCAGTGCAGCCTTGGGTGCCTGGGAGGGACAGGGTGGGTACCTCCGGAGAGCCTGCATCATAGCTCCTGCACTGGCAGAACACATCTGACCAGTAGAGTGCTCCAGCAGAGTGGTTTCCTACCCCCACTGCAGGCCCCCTATGCCACTTTACCTGCATACATTCACCCACTGCCATCCCCCATGTATCTTTGCCTCTCTGTGTGATCATGGGAGGGCGTTGCTTTCCCCTTTCCTACCAGCAGGCATGTGCATGTGTATCTTTCCATGCCACTGTGGTCTGTGCGAGTGCACCCTTCTCCCCCTCCCCCTGCTGCATCGCCATTGCTGTACAAGTGTTGATGGGCACAGAGCTGGAGCTCATCATCTCTGCCCCTGTCAGCACTCTGCTTCTGTACCAACACTGCCACCAGCATAAAACTAGTATGGAAAACCATGAACCTGCCCCCACCCAGAGCAGCCACCGCCACCCACATGAATGCACACAGAGGACACACAAAGTCCTGCCATCACCAGTGCCCCATCCACATGCTAACACAACCACTGGCTCAAATGTGTGCATAGTCACTGATGGAGGCCCCTGTCTGCTCTGCCTCCCCAGCTATGCTGCCACTACAACTACTGCAAATGCTGAAATGGAAACTGGCACTTAGGTACCTTTTAGCATCCTGCTGCAGCCAACAAGCATGCACCCTGCCATGCTGCCACCACTGCTGGCATGTGCTAATTAGGATTGATATCACTGCCACCACCCTATGAAGGGCTATGGCTGGCACCACCCATTGGAGTGTTTTGACCAGCAGCTCAGGAGCACTTCAGCTCCTCCAGTGCAGCAGGTACCTAACCTTGAGGAGCCAAAGAAAAATGTTGGGGCCAGTATCAGTCCCAAAGCATTAGAGCACACAGTCCAGGAGTGCTGAGCTGAGCCTTGGCTGCTTAAAATCTTCCAGAAATGAATTCAGTCAGTTGAGCCCATCTTTTATCACAATCAAATCCTCAAGGTCATCAAATAAGATAAAGGAAAAATAAACTCAGCCCCAAAAGAGCAACCTCAAAGATTAAAGGAACACGAACCCACAAAGGTAAGAAAGAATTAGCATGAGAACTCTGACAACTCAAAAAGCCAGAGTGCCTTCTTTCCTCCAAATGATTACACTAACTCTCCAGCAAGGGTTCTTAGCCAGGTTGAGATGCCTGAGGTGACAAATAAAATTTGTAATATGGATAGAAAGGAAGGTTATTGAGATTCAGGAGAATATTGAAACCCAATCTAAGGAGGGTAAGAATCACAGTGAAATAACAAAGGAGCTGACAGACAAGACAGCCAGTATGGAAAAGAATGTGACTGGCCTGCTACAACTGAAAAACACACTAAGAATTTCATAATGCAATCACAAGTACTAACAGCAGAATAGATCAAGCAGAGAAAAGAATCTCAGAGCTTGAAGACTGTTAAGACAGACAAGAATAAAGAAAAAGGAATGAAAAGGAACAAAAAAAACTTCCAAGAAATATGAGATTATGTAAAAAAACCAAAACTATGACTCATTGGCATCCTTGAAGAGATAGGGAGAATGGAAGCAACTTGGAAAACATATTTCACAATATTATCCAGGAGAACGTCCCAAATCTAGCTAGAGAGGCCCAGCTTCAAATTCAGGAAATGCAGAGAAACCCAGCAAGATACTTCACAAGAAGATAATCCCTAAGACACATAATCATCAGATTCTCCAAGGTCAAAGTGAAAGAAAAAATGTTAAATGCAGCAAAAGAGGAAAGACGGATCACCTACAAAGGGAAGTCTATCAGACTCACAGTGGACCTGTCAGCAGAAACACTGCAAGTCAGAAGAGAATGGAAGCCTATATACAACATTCTTTTTTTTTTTTTTTTTTGAGACGGAGGTTTGGTCTTTTTACCCAGGCTGGAGTGCAATGGCGTGATCTCAGCTCACTGCAACCTCCGTCTCCTGGGTTCAAGCAATTCTCCTGCCTCAGCCTCCCGAGTAGCTGGGACTACAGGCGTGCACCACCATGCCCAGCTAATTTTTGTATTTTTAGTAGAGACGGGGTTTCACCATTTTGACCAGGATGGTCTCGATCTCTTGACCTCATGATCCACCCACCTCAGCCTCACAAAGTGCTGGGATTACAAGCGTGAGCCACCACGCCCGGCCACAACATTCTTAAAGAAAAGAAATTCCAGCCAAGAATTCAATATCCAAGCAAACTAAGTTTAATAAGTGAAAGAGAAATAAGATCCTTTTTAGATAAGCAAATGCTGAAGAAAATCATTACCACCGGGCCTGCCTTATAAGAACACCTAAAAGAAGCAATGAATATGGAATGGAAAGACTGTTACCAGCCTCTACAAAAGCACACTTACGTACACAGACCAGTAACATTGTAAAGCAACCACACAAATGAGTTGGCATAATAACCAGCTAATGACACAATAATAGGATCAAATCTACATATATTAATACTCATCTTGCATGTAAACAAGCTAAATGCCCCAATTAAAAGGCACAGAGTGACAAGCTGGATAAAGAAGCAAGACCCAATGGCATGCTGTCTTCAAGAGTCCCATCTCACGTGCAATGACACTTAGAGGCTCAAAATAAAGGAATGAAGAAAATCAAGTAAATTAAAAAAAAATGCATAGGTTACAATACAAATTTCATATAAAACAAACATTTAACCAATGAAGATTAAAAAAAAAAAAAAAGACAAGAGCGTTACATAATGATAAAGGGTACAATTCAAGAAGGATACCTGACTATCGTAAATATATATGCACCCAACACAGGAGCATGCAGATTCATAAGGGAAGTTCTTAGAGACTGTCAAAGAGACTTAGACCTTCACACAATAATAGTGGGAAACTTCAACATCCCACTCACCCACTGACAGTGTTAAACAGATCATCAAGGCAGAAAATTAGCAAAGACATACAGAATCTGAGCTCAACACTGGTCCAAATGGACCTGATAGACATCTATGGTATTGGGATTCACTCAGGGTGGTTGACAAAATATCAAGGGAAATATTAGGGAAAGTTATAAGATACAATCTCAAGCCTTTTGGAAGGCTGAAAGGTTTTCATTAACTTATAATAATGAAACAGTTTGAAGGCAGCCAGTTCTTACCTTGGAGCATTAGGTCATAGAGTGAAGATTAGGGATAATAGAAGCCTCCCCAGTTAAGTCTGTTTACTCCATATTCCTTTGTCCCTACTCTAAATAGCTTGTTTACTCATGTAAACTTTGTGCCTGATGGTCTTCTCAGGGTGAGGTCAACCAGGGGATTACCCATTAATGGTGTTTGCTCTGGGCCCTGAAACCAAACCTTTTATCATTCATAAAATCACTCTTTTAACCATGTTAATTATCCAAACAGTACTGACTTAGAACCTCTGTAATTAAATCTATCTGTATAAATGCAAGGAGAAACCACTAGTCGGGGTCAGGTAGCTGCAATTGCCTTCTGAGAGCAGATGTTGACCTCCCTAGCTCACTTGTTCACTGTATTTTGTGTATCGAGTGTATTTATTCATCCATCACAGAATCAAGGTTTGCAGGACAGACCCCTGCTGGTGGTGATCAACATCTCAGGTGGTGACCCTGATGTAATCATTGCCACACTATAGAAATCTTCACCCAAATCCAACACAATATACATTCTTCTTATTGCCACAAGGCATATACTCTAAAATGGATCACATGGTTGGACATGAAACAATCCTCAGCAAATACAAAAAAATAGAAACTATAGCAAACACTTTCAGACCACAGAGCAATAAAAATCGAAATCAAGACTAAGAAAACTGCTCAAAACCATACAGCTGCATGGAAATTAAATAACCTGCTCTTGAATGACTTTTTGATAAATAATGAAGTTAAAGCAGAAATCAAGAAGTTCTTTGAAACTAATGAGGACAAAGATACAACATACTAGTATCTCAGGGACATATCTAAAGGCAGTGTTAAGAGGGAAATTCTTAGCACTAAATGCACACATTAAACAGTTAGAAAGATGTCAAATTACAACCTATCACAACTAAAAGACAAACAAGAACAAACCAACTCCAAAGCTAGTGGAAGAGAAAAAAAAAAACTCAAGTTCAGAGCTGAACTGAAAGAGACTGAGACACACACACACACACACACACACACACACACACACACACACACATTTTAAAAAATCAATGAAGCCAAGAGTTGTTTTTTGGAAAAATTAATAAAAAACATAGACCACTAGCTAATCTAATAAAGAAGTAAAAAGAGCAGATCTAAACAAACACAATTAGAAACAACAAAGGGGATGTTACCACTGACTCTATAGAAATACAAATAACCATCAGAGACTCTCAGGAACATCTCTGTTCACACAAACTAGAAAACCTAGTAGAAATTGATAAACTCTTGGACACACACCCTCCTAAGGCTAAACCAGGAATTAATTGAATCCCTGAACAGACCAATAATGAGCTCCAAAATTGAATTAATAATAAATAGCCCAGGATCAAATAGATACTCAGCCAAATTCTACCAGATGCACAAAGAAGAGCTGGTACCATTTCTATTGAAATCAGTCCAAAAACTTTAGAACTCTTCGCCAACTCATTCTATAAGGCCGGTATCAACCCGATACTAAAATTTGGCAGATACGTAACAACAACAACAAAACAAATAAATTTCAAGCCAACATCCTTGATGAACTTTGATGCAAATATCCTTAACAAAATATGAGCAAACCAAATCTGGCAGCTTATCAAAAAAAACTAATCCACCATGATCAAGTAAGCTTTATGTCTGGCATGCAAACTTGGTTCAACATATGCAAATGAATAAATGTGATTTATCACATAAACAGAAATAAGGACAAAAAGCACACAATTATTACAATAGACACAGCAAAAACTTTCAATAATTTAACATCTTTTCATGTTAAAAACTCTCAATGAACTAAGTATTGAAGGAACATAACTCAATATAAAAGGAGCCATCTATGACAAACACACAGGCAATGTCATACTGAATGGGCAAAAGCTGAAAACATTCCCCTTGAAACCTGGCACCAGACAAGGATGCCATCTTTCATTTCTTCTATTCAACATAGTATTGGAAATCCTGCAAAAGCAATTAGGTAAGAGAAAGAAATAAAGCGTACCCAAATAGGAAGAGAGAAAGTCAAATAATCCTGGTTTGCAGATGACATGATTCTATATCTAGAAAACCCCACAGTCTTGGCCCAAAAGCTCCTTAAGCTAATAAAAAAATTCAGCAAAGTTTCAGAATACAAAATGAATATATAAAAATTACTATCATTACTATACCCTTACAGCACCCAAGATGAGAGACAAATCATAAAGGCAATCCCATTCACAATTGCTATAAAGAGAATACAATACCTAGGATTAAAGCTAACCAGAGAGGTGAAAGACCTCTACAATGAGAATTATAAAACACTGCTCAAAAAAGTCAAAAATGACACAAATGAAAAAACTTTCCATGCTCATGGATGAGAAGAACCAATATAGTTAAAAACTATCAATGTCATCCTTCACAGAACTAGAAAAAAACTACTTTAAAATTCATATGGAACCAAAAAAGAGCCCAAATAGCCAAGTCTATCCTAAGCAAAGAGAACAAAGGTGGAGTCATTATGACACCTGACTTCAAACTATACTACAGGGCTACAGTAACTTAAATAGCATGATACTGATACATAAACAGACACATAGACCAATGGAACAGAATAGAGATTCCAAAAACAAAGCTACACACATACAACCATCTGATCCTTGACAAAGCAGACAAAAACAAGCAATGGGAAAAGTACTACCTATTCAGTAGTGCTGGGATAACTGGCTGGCCACATGCAGAAGATTAAACTGGACCCCTTCTTTACACCATATACAAAAATCAATGTAAGATGGATTAAAGACTTACATGTAAAACCCCAAACCATGAAAACCCTGGAGACAACCTAAACAATACCATTCTGAACACAGGAATTGGCAAAGGTTTCATGACAAAGACATCAAAAGCAATTGCAACAAAAGCAAAAATTGACAAATGGGATCTAATTAAACTAAATAGTTTCTACACAACAAAAGAAACTATCAGCAGAGTAAACAGACAACCTATAGAATGGGAGAAAATATTTGCAAACTATGCCTCTAACAAAGGTCTAATATCCAGAATCTATAAGGAACTTAAACAAATTTACAAACAAACAACAACCCCATTAAAAAGCGGGCAACGAACAGAAACACTTTAAAAAAAAAAAAAAAACATACATGTGGCCAACAGGCATATGAAAAAAAGCTCAATATCTCTTCTTGTTAGAGAAATGCAACTCAGAACCACAATGAAATACCATCCACACAAGTCAGAATGGCTGTTATTAAAAAGTCAAAAAATAACAGCAGCTGATGAGGTTGTGAAGAAGGGGGAATGCTTGTTCTCACTCATAAGTGGGTGTGGAACAATGAGAACACATGAACACAGGAATGGGAACATCACACACCAGGGCCTGTACGGGCCGGGGCAGGCAGTTGGGGAGGGATAGCAGGAGGTGGGGGGAATTGGTGAGGGATAGCATTAGGAGAAATACCTAAGGTAGATGACAGAGGGATGGATGTAGCAAAGCACCATGGCATGTGTATACCTATGTAACAAACCTGCATGTTCTGCACATGTACCCCAGAACTTAAAGTATAGTTTAAAGTCTTTCTCATAGATCTGACATTCAGTGACTCTGAATCTCTGCCTTAGGGAATATTATGGTCCAAATTAATTTTCATGTCATTTGCAAGATAAGAAATTTTGTCTATCCCCACATATACAATATGGTATGATTAAGCTCAATTACATTAGAAAAGATTGAATTCACATAACCAATGAGTGTAGGGTTCAAAGAAGGGACAGAAATCTGGCAGCAGTTTTAATTATTGTTTCTCTCATTTTCTTTCTTACCCCCACCCACCTCCTCTCTCCCTCCCTTAGCTTATTAACTTAGCATTAGCATAGTAATCCAGTAACCTAATCATAGCTACTCAATACATTTGCTGATTAGATAAAATTAACCTCCAGGTAAAGTCAATACAGAGTCCAATGCATAGCTTTACCTACGCATAACACAAATATCTTTAACATATGGGGAAAATTAATGAAGAACAAAGCAGTGCTAGAATTAATCATTCTAACATTTTCACGGCTTTTTGTGGATATCCATATCCTTTTAATCAGCTACAAGCCATTTACCTTTACCAAAGTAAAACACAATGGAAACACTAGAAGGAAAGACATGTAGTTCCAACCAGCCATAGGCCTTACATAAGTTATTTCCTTCTCTGAGACTAATTTTCCTCATTTATAAATTTGGAAAATGGGCTGGACACCATGGCTCATACCTATAATCCCAGAACTTTGGAAGGCTGAGGCAGGCAGATCACTTGAGGCCATGAGTTCAAGACTAGCCTGGCCAACATGACAAAACTCTGCCTGTACTAAAAATACTAAAATTAACCAGGCACCTGTGATCCCAGCTGTTCTGGTAGGCTGAGGCATAAGAATCACTTGAACCCAGAAGGCAGAGGCTGCAGTGAGCTGAGTTCACACCACTGCACTCCACTATGGGTGACAGAGCAAGACTCTGTCTCCAAAAATAATAAATAGAAGATAGATAGATAAATAGACAGACAGGTAGACAGATTGATTGATTGATTGATTGATTACAAAAATAAATAAATAATATGCAGAAGATAACAGTAGTTCTTCACAGAATTGCTATGGTCATTAAATTAGATATACATTTAAAATGTTCAGAATAATGCCTGGCACACATAAAGTATTTGATGCTGGTTGTCATACTTTTTTCACTAATTTTAATGAGAATTCAATAGATTCTATATTAAAAATCCCTTTAAACTACAGAGAACTATTATTAATTTGGTTAGAAAACTACTTTTTTCAGGTTTTCCAATGTGAAAGCATGGAATAAAATATTTATAACTTCAAATTATCATTTAAATTTGTTCTTTTCAAATATAAGATGTTGTATGGGCATTAGTCATTTTAGGCCATAATATATCAAAACATTCATATTTAGTAGAATCCTAAAATTAAAAATATAAAAGGCAGCATAACTACCTGTAGTCAAAATGGCCATTGGCTATTTAGTGACTTCATATCTCAATGTCTTCATTTTCTCACCCTCAAAAGGGGACATTTAGATTTGTCTGTTACTGGCTTGCTCTAAAAGAATTAACTGGAAACTTGACTAAAATTCAGACTCACAGACATTCTCCAGACATGCTGAATCAGACTCTTAAAGCTTGGGGTTTAGGAAGCTCTCTTGTTTATTCTGTTTTGCAGCTGAGTTTGAAAATTATTGGACTGAGTGATGGCAACTGCAGAAGATGCCCCTATCATTGGGATCATGATTGCACCTTGTCTCTGTTGACTCTGGCCATATGTACCGGTTATATCCCAGTGTTAAAGATTCTGGATCCACACTTCTTGAGTTGCAATTCAGACTTTGCTGCTTACTTCAGCAAGCTACCTATAGTATCTGAGATTCTATCTGAAAATAGCAACATCAACATTGGGATTTTGAATTCTGTCAGTACTTGAAGGATCAAGGTAATGTTATTTTCTAGGCAGAGATGGCAGGGAAGATACTCACCTTAATTCACTGATGTGCTTTTTTTCACATGAGCTATGAAGTAACACTGCTTTCCCAGAGTTCCATAAATTATCTCAAGAAGTCAACTCCTTTAGTCTCTTATTCTAACTTTCCCCTCCATAGAATCTCAAAATCTCTCTATTAGACCGTGAAAAGGAACAAAGTGCTGATACATGCTATGGCATGAAAACCTTGGAAACATTATGCTCAAGAAAAGAAAAGAT